CTCCTCTGAGTACCCTCACCAACCAGCCTCTCTCACATCACGCTTGTAACCATGCTGCCTCTTCCCAGCACCAAGCTGTATTGTACATCCAATACAACATGTATACAGAGCACATTGTGGGAGTTTCCTTTTCCATCCCATCCTGAGTGTGAACTAATATCTCATACCCTACAACACTACAGGCACTTTTACTAAAGCTTCACTTCTTTTGGGGGAATATTTTCAGGATTGGGGCTATTGTGATATCTCTACAGTTCGAATATTGTTTGTTAATAATTATCCTTTAGAGACATCCCTCCCCCAAATCCAGACTGGGTCACTTGAGGGAGTCGTCTGCCCAACATCTCAGAGCAGAACCAGGACTGCTGCCACCTGTGCTGCAAAGATGCCAGGGTGGACGTATGAACTACGCTTTTACATACATCATGCAAAATAATGGCATTGACAGTGAGAGCGGCCAATTTTAAGGAGGCCAGAGGCAATGATCTCTTTACAGTACAAATGTAGGACACTTGGTTTGGACCAGGGCTGTAAGGACCTAATCTTAACCTAACATAGTCTTATCATGGCCCAAACATCCTCTCACCAGACAGTACAGTATTATGAACAACAAAGATGTCATCGGATTTTTTCTCTCATGTATTCAGAAATCCTGCAGATATTATACATAAGGTTCTCACAAACTAATATATTTCTATTAAAAATGACTTAATTTTTAGATTAGTCATACTTATTAAAATGCATTAAAGATCAATGGTAATAATTGGAGACTCAGGTGCTCCTTACAATCAGGGTAAAGAAAACACACTGATGTCAAGTCTGTAAGTTCTATTTCTGGGACAAATATACAAAAGGAGTTAAGACAAGGGAACAGCGTCCTGTCTCACATACTTACATTTTCACGTTCATGTGAGGGTATTGGGTAGAACATTGCAATCGCGGAAGATGAGGATCACAAGGACGGCACCATATCACTAGAACAGTTTGCACACATTGTTGAATTTGCGACTGTTGTATTATGTTTACGGGTCTCTACCTACAGTCAAGCTAAGACTGATGATTATGCCCAATCTAATACAATACCTTCTTGCGCACGTAAGATTCCATAAAGGTAGCCTGTACCCCACTGGTCAGTACAGTTAGACCTGTGGTACCAGTTCATCACAAGGTTTCCAAGGATACTTGCACGAAACCTAAACAGCAACTGTTAAGTAAACACTGTAACACTAATAGTCATGTTATTGATTATTGTTACCAGCTCCAAATACCACACAACCCCTATAGCAAATTCAAGACCACGACGAGACCCACCTCCGTCCTATTCAGCAGTTGTTCAGACCAAGTCTACTACTGTACCGACAAGTGATATCTGGTGTATATTACATAACTCTTCCTCACGTAATTCCCAACACTTTGTAACTCTACAGCGGTGTAAGGATTCGAGGTATGATAGACAGTAGGGAGTGACAGTTTGGCAAAAGTTTTCAAAATCAAGTGGCTTGGGTTGGATTATTTGTCTATCGGCCACGCTGGTTCCGAATATGTTTGAATCTTTAACATCAGTGCATTAGAAGGTTTGTGGATACTTTTCGGTTCGACATAAAAAAAAACAAGAATAATGGTAGACATTCTTTATTATTGGCATGTATGCTTCAATTTATCAGCAGCACACTAGCACAGTTGGCACACTAACATTGGCTGTCCCCACAGTGTCCCCTCAGTCCCAGTGTCCCCACAGTCTAGCACTGGTAGTCCTCTTTCTTAGCCCTCCGCTTGTTTCTCTTCCTGGCCTCCAGCTTGTTCCAGGTGACCTGGTCCTGCTGCCAGGCAGAGCTGGCCACGTCTGCCGCCTCCGTGGTGAGCTTCACTCCTCTTTCCACTGCGGTGGTGGTGCAGGGCAGACCTGGCTCACTGTACGGTTCCTCCAGAAATTGCTCCAGTTCCTGGTCACTGTGCTGGAACAGGATGGGAGGGGAGGAGCTGGCCTTCTGCAGATCAACCAACTCTGACAGCTTGGTGGCTGCCAGATTCAGTTGAGGGTTCCTCACTTTCCTCACTGTCTTTCTCTTGTGCCTTTTTTCCTTCTTCCTCAGCTGCTTGATGATGTTTAGGGCCAACTCCCTCTCACTCTTGTCCATGGAGGCCAGCAGTGAGACCAGCACCACCTCGTGCTGGCCGAAGTAGCCGTTGAACTGGAGGTATGGAGTAAGCAGCTCCACTTCCTCCAGGGTGCAGTACGTCCTCACCCGGTTGATGATGGCGAGGAGGTGGCGTGGGCCCTCCAGTAGCAGATTCCTCTGCCTGATCTCCAGGAAGGAGGGCACGTAGATAAGGATGATGAAGGAGGTCATCCGTCTCTGTGACTCGCTGGGGGAGGTGGTGCTCATGTAGGTCCTCAGCTCCCTGCTCTCCGTGTTTTGCCATCTGGCGTTGGTCATGGCTCCGGCCCGTGCCCTGGCCCATCTCTCCTCAATGTGGCCGGACTCCACCGTCTTGGCCATCTCCAACAGATACCGGGTGTCCCAGCTGAACTCCTCCCAGACGACGGAGGGGATGGCATCCAGGAGAGACCTGAGGTAGGTGTTGGTGACGGCCTCGAATTCAACCACCGGAAGGTCCCATACGTTGCCGGTCAGCTTCCGAGCCTCCTCACCACTTCAGGAGGCGGGACCAGTGGTTGGGCCAGCGTAATGGTTGAATAGATGGCCGAAGAGCTTCTCCAGACTGTGGATCAGGCAGTGGATGTGGAGGAGAGGCCGTCCCAACAGCCTTTCAAACTCGGCGATGAAACCGTGATTATAGCCACTCAGTTTGTTGCAACCGTCGCTCAGGACAACCAGGAGGTCGGTGGTGTCAATACCGCGCTCCTCCAGGAAGGCCAGCAGGCTGGTGGCCAGGTCTACCCACTTTCCCCCCACCGGGACCAGGTGACCAAGGAACTCCTCACCAGGGAAGCCGATCACTGCACAGTCTTCCCTCTTTTCCATGGCGAATGTCTTGTGGTTCTTCTCACCTACACCAGTCACTATCTTGTTCTCATTGATCCTCTCATCTACCATGAGACCTCTGACCTTGAATCCCCTGAACTTTTCTTTTTTCTGTTCTCGTGACCTCTTCCTGACTCTCTCCACTTTCTTCCAGTTAGTCACTTTAGACTTGTCCCCTTCAGTTATGATGTTGTCTGCAGCTCTGATGGTGTTTGCGATGTGAGCCACTGCATCATTGGATACCTTGAACCTGTCAGCAGTTTCTCCGATCCTGTCCTCGGCTTCTTTCTCCCTTTTCCTTTTCTCTGATCTTGCTCTCCTGTCGACCATAGCCTTGAACTCATTGTCATTGACATCCTTATAATCACTATCTTCTTCCTGAGCACTGTCATCCACTGCCGACACTTTACACGACATCCTCTCCATCTCCTCCTTACTCTTTGACCTCATCTTCTCAGTTTTCCTCTCTTCCTCAGCCCTTTTCTTTGCCCTCTTCGCTTCCTTCTCCCTCTCTTCTTTCAGCTTGGGAAAGGCAGATTCGCACAGTAAAGAAGGTTCTGCAGGCGATTGTGGGCTCACAAGTTTTAGGCGATGAACGTCTGCAAACACTGTTCTGTGAAGTGGAAGCCATAGTTAACGAGAGGCCAATCACCCCAGTTCCAAACACTCCAAATGAACCAAAGGCTCTCACGCCTGCTGATCTTTTGCACTTAAGTCAAAAGGGTAATCTTCCCTTAGGTGGAAGGTCAATAGGCGAATCATACCACAGAAAGTGGAAGCATGTCCAGTACCTTGCAGATCAATTTTGGAAGCGCTGGCTGACGGAGTACCTCCCTCAACTCAGAACTCGACAAGTGCATTTCAGACCACGGCGCAACTTTCGCCCTGGTGACCTAATAATTATAGCAAAAGCAAATAGTCCACGCAACAAATGGCACCTTGGTCGAGTGATGGAAGTCAAGGCTGGCAAGGATGGACTTGTCCGACAGGCAGTGGTTAAGACGATGACGTCCACAATGTTGCAACCTGTGACAAAATTATGCTTGTTGGAGGGAGCAATGGAAAGGGTTGACGGAGTCTGCCAGGAGAATGAACTGGGTCTACACACATGAAGATGGTGATGTCCGAACGTCAAAGGACCGAGATGTCCTAAGGAGCTGATAAGTACCACCAGCCTGAGGGCAGCATGGTCACAAGAACGTGACAAAACTAAAGTTGAATACCACCAGCCTGAGGGTAGCATAGTCACAAGAACGTGACAAAATTAAAGTTGAATACCATCAGCCTGAGGGCAGCATGGTCACAAGAACGTGACAAAATTAAAGTTGAATACCACCAGCCTGAGGGCAGCATAGTCACATGAACGTGACAAAATTAAAGTTGAATACCATCAGCCTAAGGGCAGCATGGTCACAAGAACGTGGCAAAGCAGTAAGTATCAAAGGCCTGACATGGTTTTGAGCGTGAACGCTAAACGGAGTGGGTGTTACCGCAAGCAGCAAACACATAAGCAAATAATATGCTAGGCTGTAAGTCATGTCATGTTTATTGGGTGTGCCTGCCCGTATGCAGTATGTAGAGTGTTGAGATGGTTAAAGATGAGAGGCCCAGAAGGAGGTTGGAGCGTGTGAAGGGAGTTTGTTTATGTATAATTATAATCACCTGACTCAGCCATAGCTGACCAGCCAGGGGGCCAGGCTATAGGGTGGACATTTCTGTATAGCTACCCATGTCTTAGAGTCAACACCTCCCCTGGCTTCTCTCTAGACTTTCAACACGTAAGTTTAACTAGTACTTATTGTGCACACAGGTAGAATGTGGCATTTAAAAACTCATGCACTGTTAAACAAATGTTAATCAAGAACTCCCCCAACAACACAATTGGTTGCATTTATAAAGTTCCTTGCAAGGAATGTAATATGTTTTACTTAGGCCAGACAGGTAAAGATCTTGCAACTCGAATTAAACAACACAAATACAGTGTTAGGACAGGCCAGGAATCCAATGCTCTGTTTGTTCATTTGAGGGATAACAAGCATTGCATTGACTGGGATAATGCCTCCTCAATATTACCATGTAAGTCAATTGACAGTAGGACCATCATAGAATCTAGTCTTATTAAACATACCGAAGCACTCAACATGAATTTGAGTAACGGCATGTACAAGCTGGACAATTTTGTAATTAAGAAGATTTGTGATCAGGTGAGAAGGCCGGGTCACTTGACCATCTGACCTGACCACCAACCGTTGTGTGCTATTTAAAGATTAGTAGGGTCATTACCTAATACCTGACCATTGTGGACCTGGTCTCACCCTCCTCTGTATATATAAGCAATACGTAACT